ATACTACAGTAAATATTGACTTAATAAACTACCATATATGATTATTCCAACCAATAATGCTTCCAAATCACAGAGCAGGAAAAAGACACGCCAAAAGGTTATATATAATCCTTCCTATACTAATGCATTTAAATAAATACAAAAGAAACAAGATCAATAAATAAATAAATAAATACAAAAGAAAAGAAATGGATAATATATACAACAAATTTACAAAAGGGTATATATAATCCTTCCATTTGGATTTTTTCTGTGCATATCGTTTCGAAATTTCTGTGCATTTTACAGAAATTGAAGAAACTAATTAATGGACTGTTTGGAATTAAATTTTTTTTTTTTTCAACTTTCTTTAGATGGACGGTTTTGGGTGGGGGAAGGGTTTCTTTAATAATCACAGAAGTTTGGTGTCCCCTTTTTTCTTTTCTTTATTTGGCGGTAAAGGTTGGAACAGCTTTCGTGCAATCCGTGATTTGTTGAGGATTTGAAGGGAGAAAGGTAGCTGTCAAACACAATTTCAAGGCTCCCCCACATTGACTATGTGTATGATGACTTAGGACGGGAAACATTAGGTAGGTAAGTTGTGGGTATAAGATCAATTAGTAAACACTGATTCAAGTCAACATAAAATCCAAGAGATAACCTTAAGAAACATGTAAAAGATGAAGAAAATAATATAAACTGAATTAGAGATAATGTTTAAATTTTTTTTCCATTGATTTTTCATAGATTTTTTATCAATTTTGATATGTTTCTATATAAAATAACACCAATTATGTATAATGTTTATCTAATATAATTAAATAATAATATAATCCTCATAAAATAAGGAATAGGGTACATGGATACAATAAAGTCAAACTATACATTTAGTTGAAATGCTCAACATCAAGATACACAAAGATTATATTGGAAAAACAACAAAAATACTTTTCATCAACATAATTAAAATTGAATTGGGAATGAACAGTGCATATAAACAGTAACCTTGCTGCACTGTTTCATTTTATCTTCAACAGTGGGTATCCTTGCAGGTTCTTTTGCCTGCTCAAACGGGAGGGAGGGTAGAATTTCTAGGTTCACACACAACATTCTGATCTAAACTAAAGAGGAGATTAGTGTGGTTGGTTAATTAGCAGGCTAAAAAATTTCTCGAGTCCTCTAGTTTTTTGATACAAATTGTCCGCTTTAGGTAGGATTAAATAATTAGTAGATTTCCATACACAGAAGAACCTGAAATCATAGATATGTGTTCTAGTGAAAAAAAAAAGAAAAAAAAAGAGGAAAATGTTCTTTTCATGTGAAAAAGTTATACATCAAAAAACTTTTTTTTTTTGTAGTATTGTTTTTATTTTATTTTATTTTAATATCGAGTAATGCATGTTTTTATTCAGCCAATAAAGATATATATATATATATAGAAGTTAATG